TTTAGCACCTTGTCCGATCTTCACCAGGCCAGTGATGATGACAGCGATGAGAGCGATGACTTTGGCGTAGGTGAAGAAGTCCTGGACCCTGGTTCCCCACTTTACATAGGCACAGTTCACAAAGGTCAGCAAACCTAAAGGGAGAGCAACCAAAGCACATGTATAAAAATGTGTATATTACTCAGACACACACACACACACAAATCAAATCCATGAACAGCCTCAGTGGGTGAGATTTGCTCTGTAAACTGTGAGTGTGTGCCAGCATGTTTCCGTGTGAGAGTACGGCTGGTTTAAGGAAACGCTGCTGCTGACTCAAGCAGACTGGCCTGTTGTTTTTCAAATGAGGAAACAGCTGAGTGCAGCACATACAACCTCACACACACACACACAGGTACAGTCGTGAAAGTTAGGCAAATTTTAAAAGCTATAAAGAAGTGTTGTGAAATCACCACTGATCTGGTGACTGTTATATTTCTGCTTGAGGTTGGTGATTTGTGACCTGTTTCTACTTATTGACCCACTGCCCGAATGACTGACACTGCTCAATTTTTCCTTATTGCCCTCCTTCACTTTGAGCAGCATTGATGTTATTGGAAAACATGTTATCGTCCTTCTCTTTGTGACTCATCTCTTAGGCCTCTTATCAGCATATGTTCATAAAAATAGAGATAGTAAGGCACCGAATGTCTGCTCAGTTTAAATTATCTAGTAGTCAAGGAGGGTTCACTGAAACAAATTGTCCTTCCTTTAATCATATCATTCATTATGTTGCTCATTTCAGTCAAAAACCTTTTTGAGATCAAAGCATTCCTTGTTGTGTTGAACTTCCTCCTGACTCTACAAGTCTTGTAAGAACTGATTAAACAAATTCACCTGCAAACCAGCTGAGTGGACACATTTTATCTACAATAGCATTAAGTTCATTCGAGGCGCCCCCTCGCTCACAGACTACACTTATCACTCAACACTGACCTCCACATCACCCAGACGTCTAAAGGAGAGGCCAAAACAGTATTACATCACCGCCCTCTCCTCCACATTGACCACGGAAGCGCCTGCAGCCACAGTGAGAGGACGAATCATAACACTATCACCTTCCAGCCCATTGACAGGAAGAGGATCATAACAGGTCCGTTCCCAACAGGAGGCACGGCGCCCCGGACGGAGGTGAGCGGCGATGAGCAATGGAGACTTTGCCACACAGAAGTAGAGGCGTGGTGTGTTGACAGTGAAAGGTTAGAAGGGTGGGAGGTGTGAGATCGGGTTCAGGAGGCTGACCGACTGGTAGTGGAGGTCAAATATGGTCCAGATGTGAGTTGAAATGGAGATGTTTAGGACTGAACTCACATGTGGGTGGGAAGCTTTGACACCCGGGGCTCCAGATGTCGACTGCTTAAAAGCGTTCAATTTACATGTTATTGAATGAGGAGGTGATGTACAAGTCATAATTATGAGATAATAAACTATGACGAAGTAAATCTAAAGGTTGAGATTTCCCAATTCAAAAATGTTCCTTAGTGAATATTTTGAGATACTAAATTAAATTATAAAAAAATAGTAAATAAAGTTGACTTACTATCTCGTAAGTTCAACTTCTTAAACTTTGACATACTATCTTTTGACTTAATATCTAGTAGCAGTATATTTTATTTTATAATAGATAACGTTTAATAAAAAAAATGTCTTCGCATAAATGGGCTTCCGTAGCATTGGACCAACTTCTATTAAAACTAATGTACATTTTAATGAGAGGTTCTGCCTAGAACTATGGGAAAATAAGAT